ATATGTATATATAATTATAGTTGACATACAATATTATTCAACATCAGCTTCAGAAATACAGTGCGGTGGTCAGGCCTCTACACCAACTATGAAGTGGTCTCTCTAACAAGACATGAGTCCATCTGGCCCCCTAAGAAATATTTACAACATTATTGCATTTTGTATATACTGTTTCATTTAAACCTCACAACAGCCCTACACTATAGGTGTGAGTTGTTATCCCATTATACAGATTTTATATTTTAAATCATTTCTAATTTTTTAATGACAGTTGACATGCAATATATTATTAGTTTCATGTGTACAACATAGTGATTAGACATTAATCTCAAGTTTTCCCAAGGCTTTCTCAAGGTTACACGGCTAGTGGTGAAATGAGAATTTGAACCTAGAATTGCTTCGCTCCTAAGCCTCTGCTTTATTTCACTATGCCTTATTGTTTTTATTGTAAAATTAATAGTGAGTGTGAATGTAGGTTATAAATGACCTCCTGTGGCCTATTTTTTCAGGCTAGTAGATTAGCTATGGGAACATAATTCAGAGATGGCCAGTATCTTTTCAGATTCTGGTGACTTCATCTAGGTGGTAATTTGGACCCTGCAGTGATTTTCTTTGCCTTAGCTTACCCTCCCTACTCTTACCCCAAGCTTACTACAACCAACCCCAGTATGTGCTCTATTTTTAACTTTTGAATTTGATTTCAAAGGCAGAGAAAGCTCATGTGAATATAGCTAAATAAATCTTCCAGAAAAAAATCCTCATCTCTAAAATGAGTGACTTGAATGAGATGATGTCTCAAATTCCTTTCAGCTCTGTGAGTGTAAGTGCTGTGACTTGAATATTAAAGATGGCAACTTCTTACACATTATTTAAAAGAAAAAAAAAAGAGAACCATGATCAAAACCTGGAGTGGAGAAATACAGAGTATATTATATTGGCAAGGCAGAAGGACTTCCTTGTTAATGAATGGAGGCTAAAAGAGTTGAGGGAAAAAAAAATTTTTTTTAGCTGCCTAAAAAACCTTTTTGAGACCGAGGTTGTCTTGGTGTGAAACGCTTTGTAATGGTCAAGTTGGCTGGAAAAGCAGATGGAGAGGAAACCTAAGGGAGCTTTCTCGAACAAGGTGCACACCATTAGTTCGGCTCTGCCCAGATGAATCCCAGCAATGCAGCACTCAGAGATTAAGGCCTGCGTGGCCTTCAAATCATTTTCATGTTTCTGACAAGAGTCGGCATTCCTGAGCTCTTTCTTGCTCAAATATTACGGCTTATACTTAACAGAGCTTTTTACTTAATAGGACACTTACAAAACATTGATATGAAAACATAATGGACTGTATTCAAAGTGCTTTATTTCAAAGAAATATACCTACTTGTTTCAGATGGTAGCACTATTTTAATTTCCATCATGTCCATCTGTTCATACAAAATTGTATTCATCAGTTGAATCAGAATTTCCACCAGTTGTAATCACTCGAGAGGAATGTTCTGCCCCTAAGCCTTTCTTTTTCATTATTCTACACAACCTTTGCAAGCTGCTACTTGTCATTAAAACTCTTTCTCTCCCCACATGTCTTCTCAAAATTCTTGTGACATCAGCCTCATGTGAGTAGTCTTGGTGGCTATGTGGCATTTGATTTTCTATATAACTAATTATTTAACAGATATTTATAAGGAATGATAATGTGCTAAGGCTTGTACTTTGCACTGGAGCATAGTGGGGAACAAAATAGAAACAGTTCTTGCCCCAAAAGTCTCATGGCCCAGTGTCCAGAGATATCTATCTATTCAATAAGTCATAATGAAGTACGTGGCTGTAATCCAGGTGAGAGCTGTGCAGAGGAAGTCCACGGGCGAGGAGAGCTTATCATGGCAGACTTAGACTGAGGAGGAGAGCGTTCATGAAGGTTCTCTCCAGGCTGATATTAAGCAGAGACCTGAAGAATGAGTAGAAGTGAGCCAGGCAAAGATGGAGTTAGAGCATGTCAGGCAGTGGGACCTGTCAGCCCTTAGCTCCAGCCTGGGAGATCGATTCACCCAGGATCACAGTGATATTCACATGTCATTGACCTTTGGCTCTCTGAACATAATTGATCTGTTTCATATTCACCTATCGCATCACTCCAGTTGTACTGGAGTTGTCAGAAAAGTCATGATGCATTTTTGCAACAAAATATAGAAAAAGTACGTCACAACTTTTCTGCCAACCCAATAACTATTACACTGATATACAAGTGTCTTTATGGAGAGTATAGCATAAAATAGTGGAGAGAGGGAGAGAAGAGAAGATGATTAGCATGAGAGGAGCAAAGAATGTAACTATGGAAAACTGTAGTATGTGGACATGGACATGGGGTTGAGTAAGTCAAGGAGCAGCTGCTAGGGAAAGTAGGTGAGTAGTAGAGAAATTTTGGAAGTTTATGCAGAAAGAGATAAGAGAGAACCAAAGAGCACATAGAAATGAGAATAATAAAAAGAGCAGGCAGATGTGTTAATGAAATAACAGAATTCAAAGACTTTCAGAATCAAATTTTCTTTAGTGCTTTATTATGTGTCTAGTGAGACTGGAAGTGTAACACAAATTAGTTTAATTAGCTTCATTTATTCATTCAACAAATTGTGATTGAGTGTCCAGTGGGTGCTACAAGTTACATTAGGGAATGGGGATATATGTATGATTGAGAAATAAGTCTGTGCTGTCTTGTTATCCAGCGCAAGAGCCAATCATATAAACAAATTCTCACAATACACTAAGATAAATGCTGTAATAGAAATTCATGGAAGTGTCGGTAATCAATTACATTCTCTGTCTCAGTTTCACTATATAAGATAGAGATGGACTAGGAAATGGACAGTTTGGTAACCTTTCTTACATGATTTAGTTCACATTGGTTCTAGAAATCCCATGAAGAATTGTAACTGCCCTTCCGGCCATAATTGCAAGACCTTCCACCTGCTCGCAGGGCACAGACTTTCTGAGTTGAATGCACCTTACTGTGCTCCTAAGTAAATAACTTTCTGTTTGCCAGAGTGTTGTTGGTTTTGGAGTTCTCCTTGTATTCAGTACTTTTTCCAAAAAGTCTCCTCAAAAACATTTTAAACCACAATAACAGGCTCAGCCGTAGAAATCGAGTCCATGGCGGAAAAAGAAGGGGCCGTGTCTACTTGTTCTAACCATCAGCCTCCCGGTTGCTCCTGGTGTGACCCGTGCGGTCTCCATCTGCCCAAACATGGAGTGAGAAACCACTGGCAATGGGCAGTGTTTGCTCCCCACTACTACAGAAATCAGAATCCGTGTCCCTTCAGCCAGCTAAGAGTGGGACTTTCAGAGTCTCGGGTTCCACTGGGCTTCCACCGAGTGCATTGTGCTCAGAAGGAAAAACTAATGGTGCCAGTGCCAGTAGTTGTAACCACTCCAAATCTTTTCCATTTTCAGAGGGTAATTTTCCATGCACTTCTGAGCTCTTCAAAGAAAATGTCTTTCATTCATTCAGTAGTAAACCGAATTACTGAGTTTAGACATGCGTTCTTGGTATTTGGAGATATCATCAAGTATGATGTGAGGTTTCACTCTTTGTCACTTAACGAATGCCTTCTGGAATATTTTATTGTATGTATTCATGGAATCCAAAATGAAAGGAAATATTTTTTTAAAGTCCAGGTTGTGTGACCATCTCCTTACCTTGTGCCGTTCAGGTCATTTGGTTCCTACCCAGTTTAGGGAGCCCACAGCAGCCACACAAAGAATAATTTGCCCCTGCCTCTTCCCAGATACTGGCTGTTTCTGTGTCACTCTGAAAATCTGTATGTCCTCCAAGGGGTCTGAATGTAGGATGGTGTCCCTAAGCTCTTTAGCACTGAGAAGATACCTACCTGCTCAGAGTCCTCTTCTCAAGAAATGGCCTAGGACTGGGCTCTAAGGCTAAAACAAGTCTCCCAAGGGATCCTAAAGAACATAGCCTGAAGACCCCCCCACCACACGCAGTGCTAAAAACCATCTTGGAAACCATCTTTATTGATCTTTAAAACATCTCTGTGAGATAGGCAGGCATTCTCATCCCACTTTTACAAGTGGGAATTTTATAGGTGAGGAAACTAAAGCTAATAAATTTAAGAGATTTGCCTAAGATCACACAAGTGGCAAAGCTGAATTCTGACTCCAAGTCCCAGGTTCTTTCTTTTCTTACGAACTGGCTTCTTTTTCCTCATTTGTAAAGACTGTATTTTCTAACCCATAATCCCATTTTGAATTTTAATTCTTTCTTTTAACAGTGTTAGAACCCTTTCTAAAATCTAGGACATG